GAGTTGAAGTCCACTCATCTTAAAGTGGCCAAGTTTGGACAACACTGGTATATACTATACTCCTTTGTACTTATGCATAAGGTCTCTTCCCCCCACCCCCGCCCTTTGCCAAATGTTTAACCAGCTCATTTCAATGGGAAACCAATGGTTAAAATAAACCATCCTGTGGATACTTTTCCACACCCTTCAGTGTACTAGGGATGTTTTTGGAGCAGAAAATTATTTGTCAACCTTTTTCATCTTTCTGTACTATCTCTACTTAGCTATATTTAGCAATGGATCATCTGTGCTTGGACCATGAATGGCAAAAATGTTTGAAGATAACACTGGGCAATCTAGGAACATAGATAACAGATTAAAAATAAAGCTTATCTTTTTATTATGTTTGGTGTTGGGGAAGACTCCTGAGAACGCCATGGGCAGCCCATGTTGGCGGGGCAATTTTGGGAGCTGAAGTCCACACTTATTAAAGTTGCCAAGTTTGAAAAACACTGATCTAAATCCTTCAGTTCAATTATCTTTTAATCATAAGATGAAATTTTCTGAAGAGCCAGTGTGGGTAGTAGTTAAAGTGCTGGATTAGGACGGTGAAGATTCAAGTTTAAGTCTACCCTCAATCGCAGAAGCTTATGGGGTGACGTTGTATCACTATTACCTTTCAACCTAAACTCCCAGAATTGTAGAGAAATCTGGAGAGGAGAAAACCATAGATACTGTCTTGAGTCCTGGAGGAAAAGTGAGTATAAATCTAGCTCATAAAAATAAACAATTTTTTCTCTATAACTACCCAGGTGGAGTCATAAAGACTTAAAAACATGCTGAACCCAAATAGTTCTGGAATTTTTGGACACAGAGGTTGGGCAATGCCCTTCCCAAGTGACTCTGGGACACTTTTACCTATGTCTCCTCAGCAACTTCTTTGCAAATTTAGCAGATCTGGTGAAGAAAGCAGAAAACAAGTAGCTTAATTAGAAATAGTGTTTTGTTTTGTTTTTTAAATTAGCAATGTAGCTCTTGTTCTCAGATCACAAGGGCCCAAAGCTATGCATACATTAAAACTGAAAGGATGGGACACCTCTGACATCTAGTGGACAAATGGATGTTCTGTGGTCTCCTATTGAAAAGGCAACGAAACCGTTCATTTGAGATGAGACTGTGCAAATACAACATACATTTTTAAATGCATTATAATCTGGAAGAGATGCACAGTTAACTTCAAATAACATATCATAATGATGGATGCATTTCCACTTATAATCACACTTTGCGCGTGAGAAAAGAATTAAAGCGTTTAGAATAATCTTCAACTGGGTGATGACTAGGTGGGCTGGGTGGGCTATTGTTTGTGTTATGGGAGTTATAGTTCCACCTTTAATTGAGGTTACAAGGCTGATTTGGGGGGTTTAATCCAGAAAAATATGATTGAAAGCTAACCCTTGCGTGTTTATTCCAAAGTACTGTATGACTAACTTCCGAATAAATGTGTTTAGGTTTGCAGTGCTGGTTGCCTCAGCACAAGTCTGTAAACTTACTTTTGGCTTGGAGAAAGTGAAAATTCTGAACCCAGTGGCCAGCTGCATCAAAAAAGGATAGTGTGGTCAGATCAGGTTGAGATAGTTGAACAAGTCTACCAAGCAGCGTCTGGGGAAGATATAAAACCCTTGTGACATCCTCTTTTAGGATAATCGAGGCACCCCAAATGCAAAAGTCTATTTGAGATTAACATACAAAAAGCAATGTCTCTTAAGAAGAGTTCTTAAGACTACTTTATCAATGCCACCTAGCCAGGATTTTATTATTTATCTGTTCAGGACTGTGGTTTTCTAGTACTGACGCCAAGGATAGAGCAAAGAAGCTGGAGCAACCAGCTGTGGGGAAATAAAGTTAAGGAAGGGCAAGAGGCCGAGTCTCTTTTCTCCTCTTTCTCCTTTGCCTGCTTGTCCTCAACTTCAGCTGTTACTTGAAGCTCCATTTTGCTTGGCTTTTTCATGCAAGGAATAGGTGCGTGTCTGCTGCTGTCACGCCCTGGGCAGCTGAAGTCCTGCTGGGCTTCTGTTTACACCACCTCAAAGTTGACTTTGAGTGCAACATTTGGATTCCTGCTGGTTGCTATTGGGGTTGATGGGATGGCTCTGTCTAATTCTGGCTGTATGACCCCTGATTTCTTCTTGACTCTTTTTGTATCCTCAATTTGATACTATGAAATGCCCTGAGAACTTTAGGAGATTTTAGATAAACTGGTAAAGGTCATGGAAAATAACTGCACCTATAAAAGAAAGACAGTTTTTAAGGTCTGTGAGGGCCCAGATTTTGCAAGGGTTTAAAATAGGAGAGACAGGCTGCACCTTTAAAAGATATTTTTTCAGTGTTATGGAGTGGTCACATAATGATGACATTAGAGGAAGCTGGAATGCTACTTTCTGCCTGATCTGCCCCCTTTTTTGTTTTTACTTTCAAAGATGCAGCAAGCCTCTTGAAGATTTAACACCTTTTAAAAAAAAATTCCCTCAGAAAAGCCCAATAGAAAATTGTTTCCTTGTTATATAACTATTTGTATATTCTTAGAGTATTCAAAGTGCTTCCCATGCATTTTTCCAAATGCAATCCTTATAACTGCAGAAGATTATAAGGTAAATTAGTATGAATGATATTTTTTTTCTTAGTAAGAAAAGAAAATGAAAGAAGCAGTGAAAAAATTATATTCTTTTCTTATTTTTATGTTTCGGCATTTCTATAAAACCTGGGTTCCCTAAGCCTTC